GTGCTGTGTTTCGGAGGGAAGCTGTGTGTGCCTGCTGGATATCTGGGAGCCGGGGGGGGGGGGGGCGCTGTGCGGTGTTTCATCTTTCCTCCACCCCGCCCAGGGCCCGCAAATCGAACGTCTCCTACAAGAACCCATCGCTGATGCCCAAGGAGCCGCACATCCGGGAGATGAAGATCTACATTGACAAGAAATACGAGACTGTCATCATGCCAGTCTTTGGCATCGCCACGCCCTTCCACATCGCCACCATCAAGGTATGGGGGGCTGGGTAATGGGGAACCTGCATGCTTCTACATGACCACTGTCAGCACGGAGGTGACTCCTCAGCACACGGGGCAGGGAGGGGGTTAGGAAACCTGTTGGGTTGAGGGGGGTGTTGGTTCTTCAGCTCGAAGGAAAGTGGGGGCCATTTCCCCCAGAGGCCCTGTCTCTAGGGGCCATACAGGCAGGAGCCCTGGGGAGTGGGGGGGTTACAGGCAGGAGCTCTGGGGAGTGGAGCTGGGGAGGGGGGTGGTTTACAGGTGGTTGTGGGGTACAGAGAAGGCCCCAGCTGCATTCAGGGCGCACAGTCTGACTGCCCCCCACCTCCCCATGGTGCAGAACATCAGCATGTCGGTGGAGGGTGACTACACCTACTTGCGCATCAACTTCTACTGCCCGGGCAGTGCCCTGGGGCGCAACGAGGGCAACATCTTCCCCAACCCCGAGGCCACCTTCGTCAAGGAGATGTGAGTGCCCCCTTCTGCCTCCCCCACCCTCTGCCCACTGCGTGGATGACTTTCCCCAGTCCCCGTGCTGCCCCGGGGGGGCTCTCCAACCCCTGCCCTACAGCCCCCTCGAGCCCCAGGCTGGGCTGAGACTCGGGACTCCTGGCTCTGGCACAGTCTGGCTGTATGACCTGGGCTCTTGGCCTCTGTACATGGGGGAGCTTGACAGCCTGCTGTATGGGGCAGCAGGGAGACTGGGCACCAGCTTCCTGTGGGGGCTGGGCGCCCTGGTGCCCTGTGGGGGCAGGGGCTGCATACGTGCAGTGCTGTTACGCCCAGTAACTGCTCACCGCGCCTCCCCCAGCACGTATCGTGCCTCCAACATGAAGACGCCGGGTGAGCAGACAGTGCCGGCACTCAACCTGCAGAACGCTTTCCGCATCATCAAGGAGGTGCAGAAACGCTACAAGACACGGGAGGCGGAGGAGAAGGAGAAGGAGGTGAGCCTGGGGAAAGCTGGCCCCGTATCCTGGTGTCGGGCAGAGACACTAACAGACCCGGGGGGCTCTGTGCTCCGCAGCATCTCACTCCCTGGCTCCCCTCGTGTCTCTCTAGGGCATAGTTAAGCAAGACTCGCTCATCATTAACCTGAACCGGAGCAACCCCAAGCTAAAGGACCTGTACATCCGGCCCAACATCGCCCAGAAGAGGATGCAAGGCTCGCTGGAGGCCCATGTCAATGGTAGGGCCCTTTCCCCAGCCCGCTCAGCTCCAGCCCAAGGGTCCCTTCTCACTGTCTGTCTCTTGGGCAGGTTTCCGCTTCACGTCCGTGCGAGGAGACAAGGTCGACATTCTGTACAACAACATCAAACACGCGCTGTTCCAGCCCTGCGACGGGGAGATGATCATCGTGCTGCACTTCCACCTCAAGGTAGGACCTTGCGCCCCCAGGAACCACCTCCTGGCCTGGTCTTGCCCTGCTCTGTGCGGGGCTGGGGAGGTCTCTTGCAGGGTTTGACCCGGGGGATGGTGTGGGGTGTGAGAGACGGTGGAGCCTTCATGCCTCCCCTCCACTCCCCCAGAACGCCATCATGTTTGGGAAGAAGCGGCACACGGATGTGCAGTTCTACACCGAGGTGGGCGAGATCACCACAGACCTAGGCAAGCACCAGCACATGCATGACCGCGACGACCTCTACGCCGAGCAGGTGAGATGTGGGGCCGGGGTAGGCTGCGATGGTGGGGGGGGCAACCTCCAGGCTGACCTTGCTGCCCCTGCAGATTGAGTGCCAGATGAGTGGGGACTGGGCTGAGGGGTCTCTGTCCCTAAGAGGCTGTGCTGACACTGCAGCTGGAGAGCGAGGGGGTACGTTAGGGAGCTCCTCTCCCTAGGAGCTTGGCTGATGTCCCTGTGCCCCACGCAGATGGAGGTGAGGGGGTAGGCGAGGGGGTACATTAGGGGGCTCTCTCCCCGGGAGTCTGGCTGATGTCCCTGTGCCCCATGCAGATGGAGCGCGAGATGAGGCACAAGCTGAAAACGGCCTTTAAGAATTTCATCGAGAAGGTGGAGGCTCTGACCAAGGAGGAGCTGGAGTTCGAGGTGCCCTTTCGGGACCTGGGGTAAGGGGAAGAACTAGGGCATCAAGGTGCTCTTCCAGCACCCCTAGGGTTGGGGGGAGCAGGGGCATGGCGGGTGCCCTTCCAGGACCTGTCGGGGAGTAAGGGCTTGGAGGGTGCCCTTGCGGGACCTTTGGAAGGGATCAGGGACATGGAAGTGCCCTTCCAGGACCTGGGGGTTTGTGGCCCTGGGCCCCATGGACACAGTCTGTGACACAAGATGCCCACCAGGGGCTCAGTCTGCCCTCTCGCTCCTCCCCCCCCAAGCTGGGTCTGGCTCTCACTGACCTGGGCTTTGCTCTCTCTGGCAGGTTCAATGGCGCCCCCTACAGAAGCACCTGCCTGCTCCAGCCGACCAGCAGTGCCCTGGTGAATTGCACTGAGTGGGTGAGTGTCCATGGGGGACCTGTTTGTGCCCCATCCCAGTCCCTGCCCTCCTCAGCGCCTGGCACAAACCTGTGTCCCAAGGGACCTGCCTGGGTGCTTATGGGGGTGGGCGGAGCTCAGGGCAAGCACTGGCACTGTAGGGTGGGAAGGGATGCGGTGCAGCTCCTTCCCCTGTGATTACTGGCCCCATTGGCAGGGGGTCTCTGTCCCAGGGCTGGTGGGAGGCTCTCTATTCTGGGCCTGACCCCACCCTTCCCCTCCAGCCTCCGTTCGTGGTGACGCTGGACGAGGTGGAGCTCATTCATTTTGAGCGAGTCCAGTTCCACCTGAAGAACTTTGACATGGTCATCGTCTACAAGGACTACAGCAAGAAAGTGACCATGATCAATGCCATCCCTGTGGCCTCCCTCGACCCCATCAAGGAGTGGCTCAAGTGAGTGACCCCATTGTCCCCCTCCCCAATACCTACCTCATCAGGATACCGATCCCCCACCATACCTACCAATTCCATCTACTGGCGGGTCCCCACTGAGAAGTGACACCCCCCCCCCCCCCCCTCCACTGAGACCTACTTCACCAGGATCCTGATCCCCCCAGCTCCCCCTAATCCCAGTTCCCCCAGCCTCCATACTGTACCCACCAACGTCATCAAATGGGTCCCCACCGAGGATTCCGCCCCCGGGCCGCCTCTCCTGGTGCCTACCCCACACACACACCAGGACTCTGATTTAAATCAAGGGAATTTAAATCACCAGTTTTTAATCATGATTTAAATCAATTTTTAATCGTGTTTTGCATTCATACTTTTTAGGGTTTTTTTCCCCTAAAGAAAGGTTGATTCTCATTGGCTAGTAACCATTAAAACAAGTTGATCTGCAACTGAATACAGCCTTTACACTACATTTAGTTCTTTTTGCTACCCAGGAGGACATACTAGCTATATCTATACACAGTTTTTTAAGCAATGATAGCAATTTACATGTCATTCAGATTCTTAATTTTACATTTTTTATTCTGTGAGAAAATGGTGACTGATCCATATCTTGAAGATGATTTTTTACTTCTGGTTAATGTCAGGCTCTGTTTGGATAGAAATTCAAATTCAATTTAAAAATGCACAAAACCATTGTAAAATGCTTTTTTATTAGTTAAATAAACTGTCTTAATGTGCTGGATACATGCAAAAAAAAGTATATCAAAGTTTATCTAAACATGTTTTGCATTTAAAACCAATTAAGCAAAGGAAGCTTTTCCAACTTTGAAAACTAGTCATTGAACTGAACTTTGAATGCACTGAAATGAAGAAAATATTCTCTCTGCACTTGCAGAAGAGGCTACTGCTATTAAAAGCCTGTTAGGCCTTCAACAAACTCTGGTTCCAAGTGTTTGACCAGCTACTTCCACCAGTTCAGTGGTTTAACTTTCCTTAAAAGTTGGTAGCAAACATTTACTGATTATTTATATTAAATTTAATATTTTTTAGATTATAGTAAATTTAGGCCTTAACATAGGTTGTCATAATTTTAAATAGCTTTATTTTTTTTAAAAGTAAACCTGTTTAGTTTTACATAAAATAAATCCTATTTAAATAAAAAATATGACTTATTTATTTTAAATCATCAATTTTTATCCACTCTGGAGCCTCCTGATATCATCCCCCCCAGTCTCCTCATCCCCGGGACCCGATACTGATCTCTCCTTTCTCCTTAGCTCTTGTGATCTGAAGTACACGGAGGGGGTGCAGTCCCTCAACTGGACCAAAATCATGAAGACGATTGTGGATGACCCTGAGGGCTTCTTCGAGCAGGGGGGTTGGTCGTTCCTGGAGCCCGAGGGAGAGGTATGGGGGGAGGGGGGACTCTGACTCCCCTGGAGGGGGGGCTCTGTCTCGCAAAGGGGAGGGGCCCCTGCAAAGGGATGGTAGTTGGCGGGGGGGGGGGGGATTCTTTTGATTTCCTCTGGACATCCCAGTATCTGAGCCCAATGAACATTAATTAATCTGATCTCACTCCCACTTCTCTCTACCCCCCATGACTTATGGGAATCACTGAAGATCACCCAGTGAATCAGTGACAACTGGAGATAGAACCCATGAGTCCTGATTCCTGGCTGGGATCTCTCCCCAGGGCAGTGATGCCGAGGTCGGGGAGTCAGAGTCAGAGATCGAGGATGAGACATTTAACCCGTCGGAGGATGAGTATGAGGAGGAGGAAGAGGACAGCGATGAAGATTACTCCTCTGAGGCCGAGGAATCAGGTGAGGAGGCCCCTGCAGCTTAGGCCGGGGGTGGAGGGGTTCTTGGAACCAGCCTCTGCGCTGGGGGTCTGACCCTGAGGGGTCACCTGGCAGAGTACTCAACTGCTGGGCAGCGGGAGTCACCCCTACCCCCTTCTCCTGGGAGCCCTCCCTTCTCCTCCACACACTGCCTGATTTCCCCTCCCACCTGTGCTCCCATTCTGAGGGGTGGGGTGAGGTGGGGATGGGACCCTTGTCGTTCCAGTATAGGGGGACAGTTCCCCCCCATTGGACAGAGGGTTGAGCTGGGGGGTGGGGTTGCACACTGGGCCATCCTCTGAGCTCGTGTCTCCATTTGCAGATTACTCCAAGGAATCCATGGGCAGCGAGGAGGAGAGTGGGAAGGACTGGGACGAGCTGGAGGAAGAGGCCAGGAAAGGTGAGTGCCAGCCCTTGAGACATCTCGCCAAATGCACACCAGGGCCATGGGATCTGGGTTTCCTTGTGGCATGTTGTTCACTCTGACCCCTAACAGGTATGGTGGCAGGGGACAGAGCCCTGCACCTCCTATTGCCTTGCAGTAGGACAGGAGAGCTGGTAGTGGAGGGTGTTGGTGGGGATAGGTACCCAGCCTCTCACCTGTCCAGCAGTTGGGTGGATGGAGGAGGGTGGGTTACACAGCCATGCCCTGACCCGCGTCTTACTCCCCTAGCGGACCGGGAGAGCCGGTACGAGGAAGAGGAGGAGCAGAGCCGCAGCCTGAGCAGGAAGAGGAAGGGCCCAGCCCACAGTTCCAGCCGCCGCAGTTCCCACAGCCGCAGCCCAGGCCGCAGCTCGGGGCCCCCCAAGAAGAAGAGGAAGTAGGCAGTGAACTCTGACCCTCCCCAGTGGCCAAGCCTGGGGCACCAGACCCTGCTCAACAGCCAATCCCAGGGTTGGGGGGGCACCATGCCTCACCCACAAACTTTTGTCTTTTCCTGTTTTCAATTTTCCCCATTTTGTTTTCTTGAGTTTTTCTGGCCATTTGTACGGACCAATCAGCTGTGAGAATTCCAGGCCCCGCCTGCCTGTAACCATGGACATGAGCACTGCCAATGAAGAGGACTCTCGGAGTAAGGACGCTGATGTCAGTGATGTGCTCCCCACACCCCCTTCACTCCCTCCTGGGGTCCCTCCTTAGTCACCCCCACATTCCCCTGTGAGGCGTAGGCATGGCCATGGCGCAGGCTAGTGCTTTCTCCCCCTGGGAGTATCTGGCGATGGAATCATCCCCTCCTTCCCAACAGCTCTGGGGAGACACAGCCAGCGCAGAGGATCTCTGAGTGTCTCGGACTTCATCCTCAGGGTGCTGGTAACCAATGCTGGGGGGAGACTGTGCAGGGTTGGCGCCTACAGGTCCATCCCATCACTACTGCTGCCTTCCTCAGCATTGGAGGCGTTGGGAGTGGCCCAGCCCTGCCGGGAGTGGGGTGCATGGGGGGAGTGGTCTAGCCCTGAGAAGATCCAGCTTCTTGTTTTTTACTCGCCTGGCTCTGTCCCGTATTTATCTCGTTTCCTCAGTTGCCAAGTCAAGCCTCTGGCAGAGAGATGCTTTTGTTTTGGGGGGTTTTATCATGTCATCTCCCATGGGCCCCCATCACCTGCCCTTGCTGGTGAGGGAGGCCACTGGGAGGTGATGGGGCAGGGGAGGGCTCTAATTTTTTTTTCATAGCCGGTAGCTCTTGGATTTTCGACTTTGGAGAATTGAAACAATAAAATGTTTTTTTGTAAGTTCACCTTTTCCAGGTGCTGAGTCTGTTCAGTCAGCGGGGATGGGACGCTGGTCACCTATTGCCGTTTGTATTACGGCAGTACCTGGGAGCCCAGGCATGTCCCAGGACCCCCTTGTGCTAGGCTCTGTATAGACAGAGCAGGGACAGGCCAGGCGCTGCCCCGAGAAGCTCACAATCTGAGTCATGTGCTGAGTGCTCAGGCGGGGCGGCATCCTTCACCAGTGAGCTTTGAGGTGGGGGGAGGTCCCCATTTGAACCTTACTGTGCCAAGTCCTTGCATGCCTTGTGGGAGCTGATGGGTGCTTCATTCCTCTTCAGCCTTTCGTCTCCCCTCCCAATAGATGGTGCAGAGGGCAGCAGCTGCTTCCACAGAGACCTTCAGCCTCCCGATGGCAGAGCGGTCCTGAGGGCTGACAACTGCCGGGAGTGGGTAAGAGAGCAGAGGTGAGGGGAAGGGTCAGTGTTTCTCCAGGGCCATTCTCTGGCTGGGCCTGGTGTAGGACTAGCCTCCCCCAGCCCTGGGAAGGGACAGGACTTGCACTGCTGCAGCTCCTAGGACCTGGAGGGCGGTTGGCTCCCAGGTATAGATCCCAGCTCAGTGGCCAGGCCCCTGGCCCCCTTTCATGCAGGTGGGGTGCAGGGGCACAGGAGACCGCTCATTTGGGTGCTGCTGGCTCCGTCACTCACCATCGAGGTCATGCTCCAGCACGTCGTTGCCTGTCAGCAGGATCTCACGCAGGTCTATGTAGGCAAAGCCCACGTCCTCGCACTCGCCTCCTGTCCCAGGCAGGGGCTCGCTCACCACCACGAACTGCAGCCTGCAATGGGGGGCAGTGGGTCTGGATCCTGCACCCAGCCCATCCTAGCCTGGCTCCCCATAGAAAAGCCAAGTTGAAGGGCTCGTGGGCCGGGGCACAGGGGATCTCAAGGAGCCAAAACCTCAGGGAGGAGGGGTGTGCTTGCCAGCTTTGCTGCTCTGGCCCAGGGAACCTTCTCGGGAAGTGTACAGCTCGTCCGCGGGAGACAGAGCTGCCTGGGGAGGGGGCACGCTGGGCCTGTGTGAAACAAACGCCTCCAAGGGCTAAGGACCATCACAGACCGACCGGCACGTTCCTGTGAGCTGCCTTCTCTAACCTACAGTGCATGTTCTTATATAACACACATGTGCTACAAGCCCTCCCCTGCACATGCTCCACCCAGGGCAGAGAACAAGCACAGGGTGGATAGTGGTCGCAGCATTCAGGCGCTTACAGGAACATGCTCTGTAAGAGCCTGTACGGGGAGGGGAGGGGGAAGGGACTGGAATCCTGTCCCCAGCCAGGCTGCTCACCAGCTCTGCCCTGCCTCCTCTGCCTGCAGCATGGAGAAGAGGATTTCCCGCTGGCTGCTCACCCCCTCCGTGTCCAGCTGAATCACTGTGGTGGGGGCACAAGGCTGTTAGCCAGGGCGATGCTCAGTTGGGGGGGGCAAGGGGAGGAGTCAGGGCGATGCTCACTGGGCGGTGGGGGGCACTAAGGGGAGGAGTCAGGGCAATGCTCAGTTGGGGGGGCCAAGGGGAGGAGTCAGGGCAATGCCCGGGGGGGGCACTAAAGGGAGGAGTCAGGGCAATGCTCGGGGGGGGGGCACCAAGGGGAGGAGTCAGGG